AATATGAAAACTCTTCCGACAAGATTTCTGGTTAAAAAGTTGGAAGTTGAAATTTCATTTTAAAGAGACTTAGAATTTTGTATTTTAAACGCTCAGAATTTGTCACCCAGGGATCCCAAAATCGATCGTGAGATCCATTTTCCGTCGGGGGCCTTTGCCCCCTGAACCCCCTACCAGGGCGCTGCCCTGGACCCGCTGGGGACCTTTGGCGGCCCCCAGACCCCTCGCCACACACAGGGTAATTTGTGCCTATACTTCATCAAAGTTCTAGCCACGCCCCTGGCTTAGCCTTGGATACTGCACTTGACTTAAAAATAGATTTAATATAATAGAAGTTATATCTGGTGGGATAGTTATAGCTGAAAAAGAAAAAGTCGATTTCTTTAATTTTTTTTACTGCTCAAAACATATGTTGCAGATTTTTGTATAGGATTTCACAAGCTAAATCAGGCATCTTTATAGAAATTGCTGTAAAACGTTAACAATATCACGCAGCACTGTTAAGGCGAATATTCCCTGCAGAAGTCAACGGAATATAGAAGTGTACAAATAAATACCTTTTTAACTTATTTTTATAAAGCTATTATATTATCACATGACTTTAATATTAATTGAACCTATATTCCACTCTTTATTGAATTTAGTTTGGTCACCTGATTGGACAGTCACATGATAAATGGATAAAATGTGTACTGCTTGGAGGTCATAAACAAACAATATGAGAAGGGGCTTACCATATAAATTCAAATTAAAAATGAAAGCCATGAATTGTTTCTACAATATCTCGTAGTTTCTGGAAAGTGCTGCTGCTTTAAATAAAATTCGCATTTCATTAGATTAGAATTCAAGTAATGGGACTCAAGCTGAAAAATGCATGACTTCTACCAAGTATTTTATGTCTTTATTAAGTAGGCCCTAATGATAAAGATTTCACAAAAGCAGCAGGACTTTCCTTTTTCTATATTTAAAACACAGGTAATCAGAGATTACAAAGCTTACCTCGAGTAATGTTTTCTATAAGTAAGGCAAAGTCCATCACGAAACTAATATTTAACCAGTAGTGTGCATCCCTAGATGAACATTTATGCAATTTTGGTCTGATAGGGCTTGAAGTTACTTGGGAAAATATTTTTAAAAAGTTACTCATCCAGAATGTAAGTCAAATCCAGCATCTGAAGCAAGTTTAAGAGTGTTCATCCCTTTATGCATCATCTGTGCAAGTTTGGTTCAGATAGGCCTTATAGTTTCTTGGTAATGGACCTGCTTTAAAAACTTTAACCTGTACACTCAACTGGAAAATGTAGGTCAAATCAAGCATCTGCAAGAAGCAACTCTGGTAGTGCATGTGCATCCCTTAAAACATCATCCAGACAAGTTTGGTTCAGGTGGGCCTTATTATTTCTTGGTCATGGACCTGTTCCAAAAACTTTAACATGTTCACTCATCTGGAAAATGTAGGTCAAATCCCGCATACAAAGCAACTCTGGTATATATAATGTGCATCAAGAAATGTATCTTTTTGTGCAAAGTTGGTAAGCATAAGGCTTTTAGTTACTTTAAAACAAAACTGCTCAAAAAACTTAAACCTGGTCATTCATCTGGAAAATATGCAAGTCAATTAAATTCAGCATCCGAAGCAAGTCCAGTATTTCCTATGTTAGATATATTACACGACATTGTGAATGTTGATGATTTTTAGCACATCAATAGAAGGGGTTCTTGATAAAAATATTTGTAGGGAGTTTTTTCCATATTGACCTAATACGTGAAACTTTATGACCCAAATGCACCCCGTTGTTATTGAAAAGATTTTGAAAGATGCGATATTTCCTTATTTATAATTTATACTTTCATGTAAATAAGTTGAATCTGATTCTGATTCGCCGAGAAAGATTTATGGTTAAAAAGAAAAAAAAATATTACCCTCTGAATGATGAAACCCTCCAGCGTAGGAACAGTCAACATTGCTTGATACTCCGAACAAGAGACCCGAGAACCTTAATGGTCACCTGAGTATAATACAGCCCAGTAAAGGGTAAATAACATAACACAAAATATACTAAATTTGGAAAAATAAGAGTTTGGTAATTAGCAACAATTCAGAAACTTGCTTGTATATCTGCCAGTGCTACATGTATCTACACTCTATCACTATCACTAGAAGTAAAACAAGACAATTGTGATTTAGCATAAAACACAGTATTCCTATATTAAACCCAGCAGAATTCCCAAAACCATTGGCCTCTCTTGGTCTTTGAGTAATATTTAATGTATATACATGTTTTGTTTTTCTTTGGTCTCATTTTCATACAAGGAGAAACTTCAGACGTACTGTGCTACAGCGTAATGTAGAAGTGGAGAAAATAAGATGTGAATTCTTAAAAACTCCAAAAAACTATGAAAATTTAAAATCGCTATTTTTTTCAAAAGTCAATGACATCAAATCGTACGATTTTTTTATTAAAAAAATATTTTTTTAACACTTTATACAACTATTCTTCACGATAGCTCACGATACATTAAAAAAACCTAGTCTTTTTGATATCATAGACAACTGCTTCTTCGATAAAATTTCCGTATCTTGTGATTGGTCATCAACAAAATTTTGTTAAAAATCCCTCTGATTCTACCACAGACACTTGTTTCGGTAATACATATTTTAACCCAGAGTATATAATAATCACAAGATATCCAGCAATACATTTCCGAGCGCGATTCTGGGGAGGGGGTGCTCCACGTAATTCGGAGTTGGATACCTTGTGTTATTATTTATTACCGTAACAAGTGCATGCCTGCGGATTCTACACCCAAGTATGACCGCGTAGTTTGGGTCAAAAATATTATATATGTCGTTGATCGGGTAAGAGGGAATGTTGGCGTAAAACGAGTGGCGCTGTGGGCCGGAAGAAGTAGTGCCGTATTCCTAGGGCTCTTCCCGAAATCACATATTATAAATCCAAAGTAACGGGTAATTTAGTTTCCGAGTTTATTAATAAAGCATTTAATTTAATGATTTTATTTTTACATTCAAGAAATACATGCGGGGAACACAGACGGAAGTGGCCAGTAATGCGTCAGGCCTCCGAACTGCCACATACAATTCAGTTCTTTGACAACAATTAGCAAATTGAGTGACAAAATGACATATGCTGAGTAAATTACAATCTGTGAGGAGTTTTGATAAGATAGACATGAAAGATAAATAAAATAATTACATGAATGTTTTTATAAGGTATTAGAAATGATTGTATTAACACTCTGTCCCTTTGTAGTTCTCAGCAATTGTCCAAAGAGTGTCACTATGCAATTAAGTAAATAATTCGGTGTTTCATAGTCCAACAATAAATAAAGATTCAGAACTAATTTCAACGAAAATAACTGATAAAACATATTTAAGTGAAAAAAAAAGTTCAAAAGAAAATTGATAAAAAGGGTTAATTCTGCTCTGTATATTGGGGAAACAAAAGGTTCACTCAATAATTAATAGAATGTCAGGGCATAGGTTTGAAATAAATGATGGGAGCCATCAACATCTTCATTAACATTTCAATTCGACCGCCTAACCACTCTATTCTTTCAATGTAGGTTAAAATTTTGAAAAAATAAATCATCCAACTAATAGTCCTATTTTGAGTACTCCATTTCGTAGACATGAGAAGAATTCTTAATCAGGAAACTACGGCCTTTCCGTATGGTTGCAACGACCACATCAAGGATGTGGGGAATCTCTCAAGCCCACGATGTGCGAATGAAAATGTGAAAGTACTTTTTATTAATACGCAGAGACGTAGTTATAGTCATGGACATCGATCATACAATAGATCAAATATACATGATGTCTCCTTTGATTTACTTTTGCCTTAACAAGAAACAATTAGGGCTTCATCACATTAGCACATTAGCAATAACAGTACCCTTGAAAGTTTTGAATGGGCTATTTGAGGAAGCTAAAGCAAGTCTATACTTAGATTCTTCAAATGCGGCATACAAAATAGTGTTTGTGATTATGGATGTTCCCCAGCACACGCACTTTAAGCCACCACGTGTGTCGGAAGATAATTCTGACTCAATCCGTCGGTTCCTTTAACATAAATTTGCCAACAAAGGAATAGATGCTGCAAACATTAGTAACATTCTAAATCATGAAAAAATTCAGTCACTTAAAGTGGGGCTATTTGTTGGATGATATATTTTTCCAAAATATTACGTCAAGGCAAGATGCCTATCTAGTCAAGATACCTTCTGATTTTGTTGACATACATCAATATCTCTCTCGTCTAGTCAAGATGATTAGTTATCGCATTTTATTGCTCTCTCTCTCTCTCCGACCCCAATAAACATTTTTCAAAAACGATACTTTTTGCAACAAAAATGTGCATTGATCACGGCATATATTTTGCCGACGACAGTATACATGGTTTCTCTGATAAATGCATTTTCACAATTAGTAAACTACGGATAACATCTCTAATCTAACGGTGAATAAACTATTAACGTCTCTAAACTATTGTAAATAAAGGTGATCAGAGTTTCACGAATAACAGAATCCGTGTAAAGGAGCCTTCTGGAATATAAAATAAAATATAATATGGAATTCATTCTTAAAATTTGACAGGGGATGCTTACTCCTCCATGGCACCTGATCACACCTGAGATGTTCTCAGAGATTTATGATTGCTCTGCTCTCATATATTTATATTGTTTAATTGAACTTTTGAGCATGATTACTGTTCTATATCTTCACTTTTCATTGTAGCACAAAATTTAAATTTATTTGTACAATTAACAAATTTTAGAAACACAAATCAAGGATTCATTAAAGAAATTCATATAAACTAATTGTTATTCTCATTGATCTTGATTGTGCACAAATCACACTTATGGTGAGTTAATATATACCAAACATAGTGGAACATAAAGAATAATAGGTAACTTTTAATTTCAAATATTGAAAGTTATGGTTGTATTCACATTCTCGAGCTTTTTCCAGATCTCCATGAAGACAATTTCTTTCCTGAGGTCTAATTCGTTGTACATTTTATAGTGTTTTCTTTCTGTATGTAAACCCTTCTAGAGTCTTTCATCAGGAATCTGTGGAAAAATAAATGAACTTTTATAATGATGATTGAATATTGGTAATGAAATAAAATCCATGAAGCGAAAGAGAGAGGTTTGATATTATCTTTATTCACAGAAGTATAACAATTGGAATTTCACATGTGCGAGGTATCCATATAATTCTAGGCATTTAGATCTTCTCCAAATTTTGTTAATTTACATAAAAATGCAATACTGAAAGGTAAAAAGTGTCTGAATTAAGCTAAACATAAATAATTTCCACGGAGGTCTATATTCCTTGTACGATCTACATACTCGTATCTTTCAATGTTTTGTATAAATTACATGTAATTAGCAATCAAATATAAACATCGATAATTAAAGATTACAGAGCTCACCTCAAAGAATGTTATCTTTCAGCAAGGCAAAGCCCACACTAAACTAATAAATTAGCAGTGTACATCCCCAGATAGAACATTTTTGTAATTTTGCTCCAGGTAGGGCTTGCAGTTTCATGGGAATGGACTTGTTCTAAAGACTTAATATTGGTCACTCATCCAGGCAGGTCAGACCTAGCATACAAAGCATGTCTATTAGTGTGCATCTCTTGTGCATCATCCATGCATGTTTGGTCCAGGTAGACTTTATAGTTACTTGGGAATGGACCTGCTCAAAAAACGTCAACCTGGTCACTAATTCGGAAAGTCAGATCAAGCATCCGAAGTAAGTCTGGTATCATACATCCCTTGATGTATCCTCAATGCAAAGACGCTACATGTATATGAAGGGCTTTAAATTCAACTGGAATGAACCTGCTCCAAAACCTCTAACTTGGTCACTCAACCAGAAAATGTAGGTCATATCCAGCACCCTAAGAAAGTCTGGTAGTGTACATCTCTAGATGCATCATCCCTCAAAGTTTTTTCAAGGTAGGGCTTGAATTTAAGTTGGACTGTACCTCCTTCAAAACCTTTAACCTGATCACTCATGATGTATGAGTCCAAAGCCAGTCTGAGGCATTCGAAGCAAGTACAGTAGTGTGCATCAATGAATGTATCTTCGATGCAGGGTTGGTCAGCATAGGCTTATAGTAACTTTAGAATGAAAATTACTTTAACCTGTTCGCTCATTCGGAAAATGTTGGTCAAATCCAGCATCTGAGGGAAGACTGGGGGTGTGCATCCTTAGATTCATTTCGTAAGTTCTATGGTCGATACAATGACCTTGTCAGCAAATACAATTTACCATTGAGTCAAATACTGACTGACGTTTTTCATACTAATTGTTAGGCCATTATTTACACACTGAATTGTCGACTGATTTTTCCGTTATTTCCCGATCCTGACAAGGAGCACACGGCGGGTGTGACCAGTCGGCAGGGGATGCTCACTCCTCCATGGCATCTGATCCCACCTCTGATGTTTGGAGGTCCGTGTTTGCCCTGCTCCTATTTTGTATTGTATAATGGACTTTTGAGCTTGAATACTGTTCGTTATCTCCATATATTTCATTCATGTACATGTATCATCCATGCAAGTATAGATAACATATGTCTTATAATTACTTTTGAATGAAACATGTTCCAAAAACTTTAATATGATCGCTCATCTGGGAAACGTAGGTCAAATCCAGCATCTAAAGAAAGTATGGTAGAGTGCGTCCTTAGACGTTTCATCCATGCAAGTTTACTCAACACTTTAACCTAGTAATTTACTGTAAATCACTTTTTATCCGTGAGAATATTATTTTCTAGTAATTACGTGAGACCGTCCAATGCTTGCAGTATCTTTTTTATCATTATATTACTTACATTAAAAGTATCAGAGCCAAGAACGCAAACCCAGCAAACACAAGATACACCGTTCCTCTGTAGAAAGATACGGTTTCTGAGTAGATAGCGCCACCTAGGACAGAACCGGTCAGGTTACAAATATTCTCCACTATGGCTAGACTGCCGAACAAAGTACCTATATATAGCAAAAACGATTTAAAAAATTAATGCAGTTTCCCCTTGTTCTCAGCATTGATATAAAAGAATGTGTTAGATAAATTAATGAAACCCATTCAAATCAGGCTTAAAAGGATTTTTTCCCCTATTTTTTCTTTATATAAATAAAAAGAATCTTCAGAGTGTTATCCATATAGATATTTCTGGGTAGAATGTTGATTTTTTTGATGAATAATCTGGAATAATCTTATTAAATCTTTAAAAAATTGTAAAATTCTGATTTATTTTTGATTTTTTGAAAACGATACATTCTATTGAGATCATTGGATTTAGCAATGATTATGTGGAGATAAAGGTTTATATGTTAAGGGCTGTAAGATATGAGCACTGTTCCCTGTATAAAGGATGACTGCACTTAAGGACTGCGAAATTTGCGACAAAATAAATTTTCAAAACAAGCATTTTTCTTTTCATTGCAAGAATGGTCAACATCCAATCTAAACTTTATGTGATTACATTAAATAAATGTATGTATTTACGAAGATCGAATCTGTTTTCAAAGACAGGGGTCATCACAATTTCTTGAATACCCGTTCGATAATGCGGTAGCCCAATTTCTTACTGACTTCATACATAGTCAGTGCATGTTTGTCTATTGTTCTCCGTTTAATAGTAGTTGTATTCTTGCATTAATAATGATGTGTCAAAGGGCGATTAATAGACAAACATGCGCTCATGGTTAAAAAGAGAAAAAAAAACTACTTCTTCCTGCGTATCCTCTTATTGTTGTAACCAAATCGTTAAGGCATATTTAATATATAATTCACCACGTGACTTCTTACCTCAGGTAACTTTGTGGATAATAAATTTCTTCACGTGACTTGTAAGATAGCATGCTTGTGCTAACTAGGATATTGTTCATATAGCCATATAAGGTAAACAAAGGTTTGTCATTGTAGAATATATAACACAATTTTTTTTACTAGCGTACTGGGCGATTTTGGAAAAAATTGTTGCTACTGAGCTTCATTTTTCACCGTAAATAATCACAAAAGCGAAGATTAAGTAGATTGTTATTTTTAACCCCCGACCTTTCCTGTTTAAAATCATGAAAATCTTTCAGAAAGGTATGGAAACACATTTTTCATATGACATGTTGTCGCCCGCGTGGCGAAGTGGTTAGAGCGTTTGCTCTAGAGTCGCGGAGTAAGGAGTTGATCCTTTCGTCGCGGGCTGTGGGACGTGGAGACCGGTCCTTCGGATGAGACAGTATAAACCGAGGTCCCGTGTCGCAGTAGGTTAGCTCTTTTAAAAAGAAACAGACTATAGCAATTTCCTGTTTACTGCCAATTTTATTTATAAAACCGGTACTATCCTATGACCTTTGAATGGGTCACCCTACACCACGAGTCTTGAATTTAAATCACAATAACATTAGTAGGGGTATTGTTTTCAAGCACGTTAAATCGTCTGGCATAGATTTAAAATCTGCTTTTATTACATGGGCGTGCTCCTATTATCATACGTTGTTTCTGGGGAAGGGTCATCTTTAATATAACTCCCCTGGTCCTCTGGTCATAAGAGTTTTTTTGTTTATGATGTTTGTCATAACTTCTCCAATCATTGGAATAAAGATTAACTTGTTAATGTAGGAAGGGGCCATAATGTCTTTGACATAACTCCTGCGATAGAATAGAGAATATTTTGTTTATGGGGAAGGCTACCTTTGACATAACTCCTCTGATCATTGGAATAGATGACTTAGTTTTTGGGAGGGTTAACTTGGTCATTACTCATCTGATCATTAGAATAGAGAATGCATTGTTTTTGGAGATGGGCCATCTTAGACATAACTTCTATGACCAGGAATAGTGATTACATTGTAAATGGGGTGAGGGTCATCTTTAGCATACTCATCTAATCAATATGTTAGTGGTTACTTTGTATAAGTTAAGGAGTCATCTTTGACATAACTCTTCTGATAGTTGGAATAGAGGTTATCTTGCTTGTGAGGAGGGGTCCTCTTGAAGGGAGGGGTCATCTTTGACATAACTCCTCTTATCACTGAAATAGAGGTTATCTTTGATTGTGGGGAGGGTCAACTTTGACCTAACTACTCTGATCATTTGTATAGGGATTACCTTGTAATTGGGGGAGGGAGGTTATCTTTGACATTTCTCACCTAATCATTGGAAAAGAGATTACTCTGGTTATGGGGAGTGGTCATCCTTGACATACACTGAAAGGAAAAAGAAACGTAGGGTAAACTTTTGAGGCGAAATGATATTATTTTTCACAGGTATTTTCCAGTATTCCTATCTAACATTTAAAATCATTTTTAATAAAAATGTAACCAAAATTTCATTTGATTTTGACTGATAATTCATGAGTTATTGAAACTCATATGACAGTATCCCCCAAAAGTGAAAATCGAAAATTCTCATCATCTCCCATGTCTTCCTCGCGCACCTGTCACAGCCTTGATTCTCTTCTGCATGGAATTTATCGGTGTGTTTATCCATCAAATAGGGATATTACTCAACCCTTCCAACAAGGAAGCCCTTCGTTGATTAAGACATGCTTCGGCATTTCGAACCTTATTGTCCACTTAGTCCCACAGGCGCTCAAGAAAAAGAATTTTTTGGAGACCAGTCGAGTGGGTAAATGTGATTGTTTGCGAGAAAGTTTTCACAAACGCTGGCTACATTTGGTCGGAGGATGACGTGCTGAAAAAATTAGGCAAACAACGCACGCTAGCGCAAGTGAGAGGTACACCAACGTAAAGTTGACGAGCTCAAGAACCAAAATCGCGCAATCGGTTTCTTTCAGTTTTTGGGTGAATGTAACGATTATGATAGCCTATATTGTGTCAATAGTATTTTCAGGGGTAGTGGGGTGGCGATTATATAGGTGGCAAGATGAATTTCCCGATCTTAACGTAGCGCTGTCATACGACAACATCATTGTCACGGTTGGATGAACAACATTCCAGGCCCTCTTTGACGACGGATAAGACGTTCTATGGTGGAAGAATTCACAACATACTGCACAGCAACCTGTTGTTGCCTTTGTTCTTATATGTAATTAGGCAATGCAATAGCCAAACCCCATGGAACTTCCGTCAACCATACCATGACTGCAAGAAATTCATATCGTCTGAAAATACCGAAAAACGATTTGAATATCTCTATTACATCAAATGATACTATGACTGTTTTCGGCTTTTTACCACTTTCCCTATGTGACGTCATACATTTCACGGTTGAGTAATTCTAAACACCGACTTTAGTGCACAGTAACCAAGAAAGCCCTCTGACTAGTTTTCGTAATTTTCGGCTAAGTAGTCAAATTTTTTTTCGCATATTATGTTACCCTGCGTTTCGTTTTCCTTTATCTCTTCTGATCATTGGAATACAGATTACATTGTAATTGGGTAGAGGATCATCTAATGCATTACTCATCTAATCATTGGAATAGAGATTACCTTGCATAGAGATTACCTTGCTTATGGGGTGGGGTCATCTTTGACATAACTCCTCTAATCATCGGAATAGAGCTCATCCCCATGGTTCCGACAGCTGCTCCTTTGAAACGCAGTAATTATTTACATTAGATCAGACTCCTTGTATCATGCTTCAAGTTTAAACAGACTTCTTATTGTATCATATCAGATATAATAAATATAATAAAAACAATATTTCTCTAATAATTTAATAGAATTCTCCTCTTACATCGTTGACCAAATCTGCAATTCTGAGCAAATTGTAGTTGTAAAAAACTTTTGCAAGAAACAGTTAATGCCTGTCTAACACCTTGTTACAGAAATTAGTGTCTGAGTACGTTTATGTGTAATGGTGTAGAATAAGCTTCCGTATCTTACTGCGGATCTACCTGGAAATCCTATCAATCTTATTTTGTCACATTTAAATCCTTTCAAAAACGTTTAATAAATCTTTGAACGGGAAAAGCTGACAAATAACTTATTATAAAGACAGGAAATCAGGGGAAAACGGATAAAAACAGTTTCTTTTGCTTTTTGATCTAAAGGATTTTTTTCATTTAAGTAGAGTAATAAGTTCCCTTTTTTCGCCCTTACTTTAATGGTTAAATCTATAAATACGGTAACATAAAACCCAAGCCAATCTTAAACACCAATCGCACGTATAAATTCAAGAACATTTTCCCTCGAACAGACCGCGGTTTCTCTATTAATTAGAAATGGACAGAATTTAAAATTAGTCCTATAAAAAGAAAGCGTTTGAAGAGTATTACTTAGTTTATTTTACAAGCAGAATAAGAGAACATCGTTTATGACTTTGCATCTTATAGATTTTTATTTGTTAATTATATCCTTTTATATCATGTATTATAATTAATTAATAATTTATTTATTTTTTCAGTTCTTAACTTTTGGTCTTTGTTCTTTTTTGAAAAAGGGGTGTGTTACGATGTTTATAAAATGGCTATTATATGTATGAATTGTATTTTTTTTTTTTTTTTTTTTTTTTTTTTTGCGTGACTAAATTAAGAGTTTATGAAATTAACAATATTCATTCAGTAAAATACCCGACAAAAAGAAACAAAAACTTTTAGTCTGAAGAAAAATATCTTGGTATAAAAATGAGTAGGCGTTAACATACAGAAAGAAATATCCTCGATATATTTTTTTGATATTCATGAAAATCAAGGAATCCCACCTTAAAATCATAACTTGGTATGTTGTCTACATATATTATTTGACTTTTCAGATGATGCTCGAATAAAACAGATGTCGGTTAATTAAATAATCTTATTCTTAATATATTTTATAAAGGCTTTAATTATGACAAGTAATCATGTACCACAGGTAAGCCTTATTGAGACTTGCTATTTGGCGAAGTTTGAAGAAGATGTAGTCATTGTGTGCTACAGATAATATAACATCCCATACTACATGTAGATAATATAACATACCATACCAGATAATATAACAGGTCATACACTGCATTATCACATGCGGTATCATTGTAATATCAATTTTATAAACTAGTATATTTGTGTTCAATTGGATCAATTTTCTAAGTCGTAAATGCACATTTTAGAACGAACTCTATTAGTGGATATTTTTCGATTTTCTTTTCAGGAAAGACACTTTCTGTGTTTTTCTTTCCATTTTGTTATTATATACTCACCTATATATAGATAAATGTTTGATGATGCCATTCCAAACAATACACAATAACCTATTGAAGATATTGTTCCAAATAAAGCAATGGTTTCGTCTGGAAGATACTGCTGCATTAATCTAATACCCACTAAAATAATAATCTCCGATAGACAAGTTTTAGCCGTTTCAAATATACTTATTGTCTCTGGGTTAAAGCAAAATGGTGAATTCAAAAGATAAAATGTTTCAACTGCAAAAATCCCGAGCTTAGACATCATTATAAAAATGAACGACAAGATTGCAGTGTTATACTTCCAGCGAGTTGAGGACAGATCATCAGGGTCATTTTTCAGATAAAATCTTAAAATGTTTTTGAAATTTCCCATGCAACTAAACCTGCTAGATTGCCTTTGTTGAACAGATATCGTTTCTGGGATAAAATATGCAATAATAAATGCCACGGCAGACATTCCAGATGATACTGCCATAGAGTAGTCATACCCCAAAAGCATAACAACGTAACCAGAAACAAACGTTCCAAGCGAAAATCCGACTCCAAATACGAAACTAAACACTGCAATCAAATACGATCTAGACTTTCCTGCTGTTGTCAGATCTGAGACAACAGACATTGCGACTGCAAGTTGAGCAACCCAGCTTCCACAAAGGCCCTCAATCAATGTGAATGGTATGAAAAGGTACACGTTCCATTGAAAAACAATGGCTAAAGTCATTAAGAGCTGTTTGATGCCGGCACCAAATGATCCCAGAAACAGAAATGGTCTTCGTCCAATAGAGTCACTAAGTGGTGAAAATATAACGCTGGAGAGGACAAGAGGAACTCCCTGTGCTATCGATATGTACACATTCCACCTCGCCACAGTCTTTTGTACAATTTGCTCATCCTTGTATCCTTGAGAAGATGTGTTTGTATCGCACAAAGATTTGTCTGTACTGTTGGACGCTGTTCTGTTGGGAAATTTCAGGTTCCAAAATGTATCATGCCCATATTCACTAGCCGTGTATGTACACATAACAATAGAAAAAAATAAACAGAAATTTGCGGCACATAGTGGTACAAAAATCCGAAGGTAGTCCTCTCTAATTTCTGATTTCATATTCGATAATCGTTTTTATAAGCATATATATTGATGTTACTCAAGAAAGGACTGACGATGAATGCGATTTAGGTCAAAGTACCATAGTGATACTGTTATCACGGGTTTTGTTGACTGCATGATCCTTATCATATTTTAGAATGGAAAGCAATTATTGCTCAATTTATGTAAAATATTCACATGTATTTTTACTAAAACTAAAAGACAAACATGTGTACTCTGATGCCATATATATCAAAAATATTATTCATGTGGAACAATGATATTTAAAACGGACGAGTTATCCTTCAATTTTCGAACTTTACAATACTTTACAGTACTCTAGAGGATTCAGGAAAATCGGAGCTTCTCGGTTTTTTGGAGAGTTTACTTGAGAAGAAAATGAAGTGGGTGCTGAGCAAAGCTATTGGAACAGTTCTTCATCCTAGGGATTGGTTGTCAGATACCTTATCCTGTGTTATTATGTGGATAATGTTAAAAACATAAAACTGCTGTGTTACAAAATTCTATGCTGAACATGTATATTTAGAGTAAATTTATTTTAAACTCCACAAGAATTGCATTGTTTAAATGTATTAACTTTTATAACTGTAACTGAATCAAGATTGATGTATTAGGGTTTTATCAGTAGAGCCCAGTTTTGTTTGTTTTGAAGTCGTAAGATTTATCGTGCGTGATGAAATCCATTGTATTGATAGTATTTATTGTTAGATGCTTTTTAAAGGCAATGAAATGTGTTATGTGTCTTTATGCATGATGTCTGTGATTATTATAAATAATTATCTTCATTTTCTTTGTCTCTGAAGCCATGTTTCAGATAATTGAAGTTATGAAGTTTATGGCCGGAGATTGTTGGCAAAGGTTACTGAAAAAGTTAAAACAGGAAAAATAAGGAAATATAAAAATATTCCAATCCATGTATAATACCTATCATACACAAAGCAATGTTAATGTGATAATCCTTATTTAACGGTATCTCTCTCTCTCTCTCTCTCTCTTGAGCACACACACACACACACACAAATCCTCACACACACCCTTTCACACACACACACACACACACACACACACACGAGGGGGGCAGTAAGTGATCTGAAAATAAAATTAAAAAAAAAACTGTAATGCCACTTCCCGTATTTCTGGAAACATTGTAATTCATTAATCAAATATTGAAAGGAAAATCATATTCTTTCAGATACTAATGAATTTGATACGTTTTGTTTTTGATTCAATTTCAACCACTGTTTTGATTGTTTCTCTTTGAAGAAGGTTCCTTTTCAACGGGGTAATTTTCTTTTAGGTACACATGTTGAAAACTGACCCTTAGCTTATTTCCTACAAAATAAACACCTCTATTAACGACTGAGGGTTTTATTTTTCTAAGTCGAAAAGTTATCCAGGTCATCATTCTAAAAGGGCATTATTCGTTCTTACACCGGAGACGATTTGTGCCTTTCTTCGTTACACATTTTCCTGCCCAACAGTAAGGATACGTAAAAATGTCAGTTTCGTGAATGTTATTGAAGTTTAATTGAAGACAACGAACAGTATCCAAGCTCAAACGTCCATTGAAACAATACAAATCGGAAGCAGAGGAAACAAGGACCTCTTAAAACATCAGAGGTGGGATTAGGTGCCATGGAGGAGTAAACATCCCATGTCGACCGGTCACAACCGCCCTGTGCTCCTTGTTATGAACAGAAAACGGAAAAAAATCCGTAGAAAATTCAATGTGTAAACAATGGTCTAACAATTAGTATGAAAAACATTAGTCAGCTTTGACTTAATGAAAGATTGTATTTGCTGACAAGGTCATTGTATCGACCATAGAACTTGCGAAATGATGACTTCAAAATAAGACTGTTGATATTCTTGTTCCATCAACTTGTTTGTATATATAATGTGTCTCGTTTTAGAAATTGTTTTTACTTAGAGCATGCTCTTGCGTATCGAATCAACTGGGAGACATAAGCCCCATATGCAGGTGAAAGGGTATATTGCTACATAAGTAACGTAAGTTGACGATTGGAAAGTTAAATCAATCAAGTTTATCATAAAGCGTGGTTGTTAGGTTACCATTACTTTTTCTAGTAAAATATCCAAATGTGAAACAGATGTGCCAGACTCTAAAACCTGTAGTTGTTCAAAAGGAGGGGGGGGGGGAGCAACCTCCCAAAAATTCTACAAGGACCCCCCCCCCCCCATCAATTGCCCAAACTCGAAAATCCGATTTCTCTTACTTTTTAGGTATATTAAATGCTGGAATTTGCCAGTGTTCGACCATAGAACAGTAAAAAGTGGGAGTGGGGGTGGGGTGGGTTCAAACAGCATCTAAATGAAAATTTACACATTTAAGGACATACGCAACGTAGTCTGAACTTTATTGTCTTTTTCCCTGGAGTTGAAGAGTTCCGATACTTAAAGGAAATGTGTGCTACAAATGTCTAATATATAATTATGCTGTTGTACGCTTCTTTCTAAAACAAGTTTGGATAAACAAAACATCCAGAATATATGTTTAGTAATTTTTGTATTTTTTCTTTGAATTATACAAGAATTGTCATCAATTGATATCTTTTCAAAACCCCTGGTAATGCATGCTGATTTTTTGTCTACGAACATCTGATGGCACTAAAATCTTAAATTAAGAATATCTTGGAAAATTATCAGTAGGTAAGGTACGTTGCGTATGTCCTTAATAATTAAAACCATAGTAAAAGACTTCTCAAAAAGTGGGGACCCCCTGCCCCCTCCCCCCGTACTACGGACCTGGAGTAAATCACAAAGAGTTTTCACTTTGGCATCTGTAAATAGGAGAAAAGAACTATTAGTGGTCAAGCTAAAAATACAGTAAAGCACGCGACAATTTAAAAAAACCCAGACCCTTTGAACACCAGAGGTGGGATCAGGTGCTCAGGAAGAGTGAGCATCCCTGTTGACCGGTCACACCCGTCGTGAGCCCTCTGTATTGATCATGCAATTGGAGAATCCGTAGTAAATTTGGTATAAAAATAATGGCCTTACAATTGGTGGGAAATATGTCAGTCACAACACAACCAAAGGATATTTTTCAGTAGTCTGTCCCCGTTGAAAAATTGATCGTGCTCAGAACGTACTCTGCTTACCGAATTTATTTGGAGACATGACATCATATGGAGGTGATGGTGGAATATTACTACATAAATAGGGAAAGTTAACGATAGAAGAACTGAAGTCATACTGTTTGTCGTACAGTTTAGCTGATAAACTCAGTCGATATATTATTATTATATTGAATTGAATGCCACAGTCAAAGTTTTCTTTTTCTCATATAAATGTTTTTTGAGTAAATTCTGCTTCATAAAAATATATAAAAAGGCTAATAAAGGAGCACAATTATTGCCCATCGAAGGTCATTAAAAAAAAAACAACAACACATATTTAATTTATCGTGATGAAATTAATTTTTGGGAAAAAAAACCACGTTCTTTCGAATTTTGAGAATACACATTTGAATTATACCACATCTTGAATATGTTGTAGTACAGTACGTCTGAATTTTTTTCTTCACAGAAATTAATAATTTGGGGGAGAAATGAAGATGGTAGCTTGGTTGAACATCTACTGGATCCTGCAATATATCTTTGTAATGATTATTATAAAGTTTTGGAAAGTTTTGAAATCCAATAATGTTAACGTAAATTAAATTCATTTCTATTGACCGGAATGTTAAACATGTTAAATCTGGAATTTGATTTTGAATAAGTTTATCCTTTGAAAAGGAGCTGTTGTTATACGTTGGATAACCAAGTTCTAAACTGCAATTGTAATACTGAGCCTTACAAACAAAGCTTTGTCACCTGGAACCACAGCATATTTTCTCAAACACTTTCTTTTACCACTTCCGTTATACTGAAAACGGAATTTGAATCGTTCGCATTTTTCCCTTCAATTTCTTCAGCAATTCGATAATGTACTTCTAAAACTCTTAATCCATTCTGACAAATTCCTCGACGGAATTCATAATAAAAAAGAAATTCTGTCATCATTTGAAAGATCGGGGCTCCATGGATTTTAGACCTAAAATGATTGCTTTAATCTCATTATTTTACATGAGGCGCACTCAATGGCAATAGTCTGAGTTTCTCAGTGTATATTGATACGCATGAGTGTATATTTGGTATCCATATCGAAAATTATATCTCAATGTTTTCATGAGATTGCAAGTTCCCTAAAAGAAAAATCAATGTTTTTGATGCTCAATTGTCATTTTTCACTCTATAAAGTAGTTGCAATAAAATTCTTCGTTAAAAATACAAGTTTTAAAGAGGGAGAATGTTATATACCGGGGTTATTGTAGGAATTTTTATCTCTCTCTATCCTCTCTTTCTCTCTCCCTCTCTCTCTCTCTCTCCGACCGCAAGAAATCATATTTCTAAACGATTTAGTTGGCAAAAAAGTTCAGTTGTTCACGTCACGCATTGTCGATGAGGACAATTATTTGCATAAATGTAAAAAATGGTTTACCTGAATAAATATATTTTTTACGATTAGTTAACTATCAAACTATAATTGTTTGTTTCACGAATAACAAAAAATCCATGTAAAAGAGCTTTCTAAAGTTTAAATCATTATTATATGGGATCGGGTGATTCAGTTTTAATTCGTAAAATTCTTTTGGAAAAACTTACTCCGCCATGGCACCTGATCACACCTCAGATGTTTTTCAGAGGTTTATGTTTGCTCTGCTCTCAATGTACATTATATAATTGAATTTTTGAGCATGATTACCGTTCGTTATCTACATATTTCATTGTTGCACAATATGTAAAATTATTTGTTAAATGTACAAATTGTAGAAACACAATCACACATTCAATTACCGGGTATGTAATTTATACGTACTAATTGTTAATCTTATTTTATCTTAATTATGCAGAAAACAAACATATGATGAATTAATAAAACAAAAATAGCAGAATACAGAGAAATGAAAGCCAACTTTCAAGTTGAAAAAATTGAGTTGTA